AATATTAATTTGTTAATATTATACTCTAAATATATAAAAAGTGCTACAATGTGACCCTTCTATTAAATTTCTGTTAGTTTTTTTGTTTCTACCATTCAAGATTAAGTTATAATTATTTGAGGTTATCTCCAGAATATCTATATAATAAATCAGATAGTAAGTTAATTTTTATATCATATATATTTTCCTCCCAAAAAATATCACATCACCTAATTTTGTCACATGTTTAATCATTTAATATTTAGTTAATTTGTAGTTTAACACAACTTTTATTTCATACATTATTTATACAGGATAGTGTACACATGTTAAAATAATTATATCAAGTTTATATATTTTGAGAAATTAATTTTAAATGATATAAGCAAAGAAATTAATTTTAAATTTTGTATAGTAGGATCAATTTTTTAAACGCTACAATCTTATATTTTTTTCATCCTTTCAGTTACGGGTTACGACTAATTTTACAATATTTGTGATCAATCCTAAGAGTTTGTGATCTATGGCAAGGGTATGGGATATATCTCAAAATACTATCGGAATGTTTGGGATTGATCCCGAAAATCTTGGACTTAATTTTTTTTGGTAGCTAACACAATTTATATTGTAACTTCCCCTCCATCTTGAAAAATGACTTACAGAGCGTTTTAGATCGATCACAAATTTATGATCGATCTCTAACAATTAAAAATTCATCCCAAAGGTGTATCTTTGCCACAACTTGTTGGAACATCATCCAATTTTATTCAAATTCATATTGAAGAAAATCAAAAAATTAAAATTTTATTTAATTACTTTAACATTCAAATTATCATTTAACTGAATCAAATGAACATTCAATTTATTCCATTTAACAAAATTTCAAATTTATGAAATTAACTCCAAATTGATTATCAATTCCAGATTCAGTTTTCATCAAATTAGCACTAATTTTTTTTATTTATTAGCCTTCCTTTATCAATTCAACATCTTCATCTTTTCGAGGTATAAATTGATGAAATTAAATGTTACCAAAAAAAATTGAAGGTCAATTTGGTGTTAATGAGATGAAATTTAACATTGAAATGATGAATTCTAATGTTTATTGGGTGAAAGTGACGGTCAATTTATTTTTCATGCGGTAAATAAAATGTTAATTGGATAAAATAGAATATTAATTTGGTGCAAATTAATGTTAAATTGATGAAATTAAAGGTCAATTGACAACACTAAATTTTAAATTGGTAAACTCGAATGTTAATTTGATAAAATTGAAGGTCAATCCAGTATTAGTTGAATGAATTAAATATTAATTAGATGAAACTGAAAGTTAATTTGGTGCCAATTTTATAAAATAAAATTTTAAATTGATGAAATTAAATATGAATTGGATAAACTATTCAAATGAAAATTGTTCTGGTTTCATTCCCTCACCAGAACTCTCATTTTACAGGGTTGTTATTAGAATTTACCGTTATATTGTTTTTTTTTTTACCCCATTTTATGCCCTAATCAGCTAATCTAACTATGGTCACAATTTTTTTTAATTGGTGGAGTTTAAATGATCATTTAACATATTATCATTATTATCATAATTGCATCAAATTAGTATACAATTTTATAAAATTAAAATAAAATTGACCTTTAATTTTTTCTAATTAATATTTAATTTTATCAAATTAACATTCAAATTAATATTCAATTTCATCAAATTACCACAAATTACCATAAATTTTATCAAATTAACATCAATTTTTTTCAAATTAATATTCACAGTCATCAAATTAACATTCAATTCATCCAATTAAATACAATTTTATTAAACTAATACCAAATTAATATTCAATTTAATAAAATTACAATCAAATTAACATTCATTTTTATTAAATCCACATTAAACTTCATCAAATTACTACAATATTAATATTCAAATTAACACTAATCTAACAATCAATTTTTTCAGTTTAACATTCAAGTTTTTCAAATTAACAATAAATTTAATCAAATTACAATTTTATTTCAACAGATTAATATTTAATCTCATCAACTCGATATTCAATGTTATCAAATGAACACTAAATTAATATTAAATTTTATCATATTTAAAGTTTAATTCCATCTAATTAATCTTTAATTCTAAATATTTACATTTAATTTTATTAATTTACATTAAATTTATAAAATTAACATCATTTCTTTAATTTAATCCCAAAATTAACATTCAATTTCGTCAAAAATAATACTAAATTGTCATTCAATTTTATAAAATTAACATTTTATTTTGTGAATTGAAATTTTCATTTTACTAACTTAATATCGTTTCTTCAATTTAATACCAAAAAAATTTTAATAGTATCAAATTAATATATTTTTTTTCTAATTAACAATCAATTTTATGAATTTAACATTTAGTTTCATCAAATTAATATTATTTTTTAACTAACATTAATGTAACATTCAATTTCACCAAATTATCATTCAGTTGAATCCGATTAATACCAAAGGGTTGTTATTAGCTATCGATTAAATTACCACAAAATTTAATGTTAATTTTATAAAATTGAATGACTAGGGGAATTAACCTTAAAATTTAGTGTTAGCTTGTTATATATGACAATGGTAAACTGGATAACTCATAAGAGAATACGTTGTCACATCACAAGCATTTTTGCTTGTCAATAACGGCATAGATGGCAAGAGTAGTTTGTGAAACACGTATATAATTATAGGGCTGTGCAATAATATTTTAAAAATCAGAGGGAACGTCAGTAAAATATAACTTAAATTCAAGAAGTGTGAGCAAAATTTTTTCTTTTTTTAGCTTAATATTATATACTAATCTATTTTTTAATCACTAGTTATTGTTTGTACCTCCTGAAGGTACAGAATAATAAAAAATAATAAACAACAAATATATTCGTATTTATATTTACAATTAAATCATAAATATAAAGAAAAGATAAAGGAATTTAAGCATCGATTTGTAGTGGGGGTGAGAGATGGTGGGCGGCAATGATAGTAGTAGAAGACGATGATGGTTGTGGTGGATGACAATGACTGTGGTGGCGATGGAGGCGACGAGAGTGGCGGTGGCAGTGGGCGGTGGTGATGGTGGTGTTGGTGGTGGTGGTAATAGTGGTGGCAGTGACGACGACGACGTAGTGAGGGCGGTAGTGGTGGCGGCGGCGGCAGTGGGGGCGGCGGCGGCGATTAGGGTGGAGGTGGTGGTGGTAGAGGTAGTGGTGGAGTGGTTTCAAACACTATTTTTTTTAAAAATATTTATGAGAAGTAATTTGTAAAAGTACTTTTAAAAAGTTACTCAAATACACAATTAGGAGTCTATTTTTCCTATTAAATTTAGGGTGTTAATATTAACCATTAAATTAAATTTAAGGTAAAATTTAAAGCGATCTCAATCGCGAATAGTAAAGTCATTTTGTTTATGTTTTGAAATTTGAATTGTAAGATACTTTATTATATAGATATTAGAATAATGAGTTAATAATTTATTCAAATTTTTATCAAAACATAATATAATTGGGATAGAATAAGATGGCCAATCAATTATTACCAATCCCAATGAATTAGAATGGTATCTATCGTGCTACTCTAGAAACAAACATGCCCATGCCCGGTTTAGCCGGCCCCAAAAGGGAGGATTTATAACTCAATTGTCAACGATTTTCAAATAATTGTAGATCGGAATTGCGACTGTATAACTCAATAATAGCAGTAGTAATGACAGTGGGTCCTCAATCACACGCAAATGTTTTATAACGTATTCGAGATACATTCTTTATCAATAATATTATTTGGATATAAAAATTTGATCTCATGATATGATTTTATTAAAATTATTAGATTGATATCAAATTTCATGTTTGATAAAATTTATAATCAATCTAAAAGATCATAAAAAATTAAATTAATAAATTAAGTACTCTGCAACAAATGAAAATTAGGGAGTCAACATCTCAATTGTCAATGATTCTCTCTTATAAAGCTCTCCCTTGCACCTTTAATTTTGTTTTATATCACTTTAACAGATAAGGGTCGGCAATTTTTTTTAAATATTGCTATAATTGAGGGTACAAAATGAAACAAATGTAATAATTTAAGATGAAAACTGACATTAAACCTCAATAGTCAAATGCTTATGTAATATTCTGATCAAAATGTTTATGTAATATGGAAGACAATTGAATATGAAGTAGTTGTTTTGTGGGTAAACTATATTGTTCCTTCCCATCTATGGGTCCAATCTCACTTTATCCCTTCAAGTATTGACTTTCTCGTGTTGAGCTCTTAACTATTTGAATTTATATGACACAACCCCCAAGTCAAATGCCCATCATATTTTGGATAAAAAAAAATGACAAGATTTATAGGATAATATAGATTTCCAATGTCTACAATTTGTGCAATGAAAATCAATAGTTATAGTTTTAGGGTGCAAAATAAGAAAACCAATAGTTGAGGGGGCAATGTAGAATCAATATTCTACTTTGAGCTACAACGTGAGAAATATAATAGTAGAGGGGGCAGTGTGAAAACAACACATGGTTGAAGGATCATAGTATAAGATTTGCTATTGGTATTCAACTATTCTCCACTATAAATAGAAAGCGCACCTTTGCTTCAGATGCAACACCCACATACTTCTTACATCCTATCCATTGTCTGAATTGCAGAGAGAGAAAGACCATAACATAAAAATGGCGACCACTACCACTACTAATCCAGGCCAACACTACATTAGACTCGAAGAAGCAAAAAAGTTAGATGAATCCAAAACCGGAGTTAAAGGCCTCGTTGATTCTGGCCTCACCACTATCCCTTAGATCTTCCACCACCCACCCCAAAACTTGCCCAACCCAAAACCCTTTACCCAAAACCCCAAACTATCACTCCCCATTGTCGACCTCTCTAGTGCCCGATCAACTGTGGTTGACCAGATCCGTCATGCTGCCTCAACCATTGGGTTCTTCCAAATAATCAACCATGGCATACCAAAATCTGCCATGGACCATATGCTTTCGTCTATCAAGTCTTTCCATGAGTTACCAGATACCACTAGGATGCAATATTATAGCAGGGACACCTCTCATGGTGTAGCCTACTATACTAACTTTGATTTGTACAAGTGCAAGGAAGCTAATTGGAGGGACTCACTCAAGGTCCACTTGGGTCCCACACCACCAGAACCAGAGTACGTTCCGGAGGTATGCAAGGAAGCACTGGCAGAGTGGGGCGGAGAGGTGGTGAAGGTGGGGGAGGAGTTGATGGGGAAGCTGTGTGAGGGATTGGGGGTGGAGAGAGAACGGTCGAAGAAAATGTCATTTTTTGATACGAGGTATATGTCTGGACATTACTATCCGTATTGTCCCCAGCCGGAGTTGACGGTGGGTCTCAAGTGGCATACGGATCCTGTGGTCTTGACGGTGTTGTTGCTGAATGAGGTTGTTGGGTTGCAAGTGAAACATGGTGAAGATTGGATTGATGTGGAGCCCATCCCTGGTGGTCTCATTGTCAACATTGGTGACATTCTTCAGGTAAGTCATTCAATCATATGTTTGCCAAACTTGTTCTCAGTTACAAGTCCTGAGAGTACATGAACGACAGTTATATATTTGCAATCATCTATGAAGTAATCGATTATGTCTAATAAGGTGTTCAATATATGATACTCAATGCATATTTATTTATTTATTTTTAGATGCATATCTGATATTCATTACCCATATCTATTAATGAATAAAATATTTCTTTATTTTTATATTAGTCTTAGATATAGTTATTCGAAATGAATATGGTTCATATATGAAACTCGATAGGCTGAGCAATAAATCATTATCCTTACTCTCAAATTCACATAAAATGAAACACGGAGAGTAAAATCTCTATGGCTTTCTAGAGACATAGTTGTTTATTAAGTCACTGTTGCAGAAATTTATAATAAGAGAGATATCAGAGATAATAAAATGAAGAAAAACAATATACAGATAATTAACGTAGTTCGACATACTATGCCTACATCCACGGGCCTAACCCCCAACGGGTTACATCGATGTGTTAGTCTTCGGTGATTGATTATATGAGACTTAACCATATTTATCGGGTGAGAATTACAAAAGACAAATATAAATCTCATATTCCTATTATCATCTATTTTTTTCCTAAAAGACCTAGATATTGATGAATCTTAGATCTTATCTTAGCTCTACGTAGATGTTGATGGATTCCTTCTAATCCTATTATGTCTCTAATAACTATCATATATTAGGAGCACAGATTAGGGAGTTAATTATAACCTATCTCTTGACAATAAGTACTTTTAAGATAATCACCTAGATCAATGTTGATTCTGGTTTTTTAAATTACTCCCCGTTCACTTTATGAGTATACCATAATCACAATCTATACTTTTTGAATTGTTATTAAAGAAGTCCTGAAAGTGTTTTTATTTAATTTTATTATCAGATTCTAACAAATTGAACCATTTCATGGTATAACTGGAGGATACATCTTGTGGTTGAGCTCTGACAGGTTTGGGAGGCACCCTCCAATGGCTTATTCTGAAAAAGCAGGGATTAATGGTTTTAATTAAATATATGCTCTTGTCCAATTTGTAGGGAGCCAAATGTGATTTTGAGACTATGTTATTTCAAAAAGTTCTTTTAAATTTTATCAATGTTTCTCAGTTTAGGGAAATATAGCAAGATATTAGTTCATTTATAAGACAAGTTTGTTCTTAGGGTTGCTTAACTCTCTTGTGCAGATGATATCCAATGACGAATATAAAAATGTGGAACATCGAGTGTTGGCGAACCCCTCTCGCGAGCCACGAGTCTCAATTCCAGTTTTCTTCACTTCAAGTATGACAGAGAACCTGTACGGACCATTACCAGAACTAGCATTCTCTGAGAAGCCGGCGGCTATCGTCAATTCACTCTCTCAAATTTTATGGAAAAATACTACTCGGAGGAATTGCATGACAAGTCTGTAACGAATGCCTACAAAGTCTCAAACATATAAGGACTAGTGTTGGACAAAGAAGGAAATCATATATGATTTGCTTAAAAATATACTTTATTGTAATATTTAAAAGAAACAATAAATAACTGAAAATAAAGTGCTATCGAAAGAAAGTCGGTTCTAAATCATCTCTAATACTTTTTCTTTCAATTTCGTTAAAGGATATATCTCTTGCCAATTATGCATGTTTGACCTACTATTTATAAGTGGGTCTCCAATTATATATGGTGAGCGATTTACCTATTAAAGAAAATTTAAGAAAACGTATTAGAAGAGATTTCACTCAAAAATAGTTGCATTTTAATATGAGTAGGCACTTGTATTGTATGTTCCAAAAGAGTTACATTTTAATATGTGTATTCCCTTGTATTGTATGTTTCTTAGAAGATTATGGGGTAATAAAATTTTATACAACTTATAATGACATTTTGTCACTGATGAGACTGCATACTATAGAACTTATTCAAAGAATATCCCACAACATAATTGTGTCAGCATCAAATTTCTACACCCAAAAAATCCTAATTAGGTGCTGCAGCCAACAGTTGTCGCGCAGAAAAAATCAGAAAGAGAAACAACACTACATATGTGGAACAGATTTTCACGATGAATAACAGTGGAACGGGGAAAAATATGTGTTTGTTCAATTGGTTTTGTTTAGACTTGGAATAGATTATATGTATTAGACAGTAGAAGTATATCAAATATCTGTATAAACTCGTGCGGGAATGGACCGAAATACATGTAGTATTTTGTTGTGGATTCTGCTGAATGGTTGGGGTCGGGGAGTTTCAGCATGGTGGGAGTGTTGCAAGAGTGGGTTTCGGTGAGAAAGGGAGAGTTGTAGGGGTAGGTTTCAGTGGGAGACAGATAGAGAGAGAGATGGTTGGGGTGGGGGAGTTGGCTTGATATGTTTTGAGGCCTAAAGCGATAAATTTAACTAAGATTATTTTAATTTTTTTGTAATAATATAAATTTTTTAATATTTAAATTTTTTTTCGGATGCATGTTAATTGTTTAATATTCATATTGAAGTTTTTCTAACGTATATTTTTTTATTGACAATATAACTAATTGACTTAATTTTTAAATTAAATTAAAAATTCTAAAACTTTCAAATTCAAATATTATTTGACAAATTATATTATCTCGTGACTCGTCATTGACGCTCTTATAAAAATATTTTTCTATGAATTAGGGATTTCTCATAGAATATATATTTGAGTAGGTTTTTTAAGATTATTATAAAAAAATGTAATGTAATATTACATGGACATTATATAGTGACTTTATTTGCCGACCTTATCATTTTCTGTTATTAGATAGATAGTGGACCCTATTATTAGTTGGGGCCCATTGTCAATTCCATAGTTATGATCCATCATGTCACAAGGTAAGATTATTAAATTCGGTACAAAAAATATTTTTTTTATTTCCTTATAAAATGTTATTGTGTGAGATTAATGGATTAAATTTTTTTCCCCAAAATTTTTTATTTCCTTATAAAATGTTATTGTGTGAGATTAATAGACCTTCATATATGGGCTTTCTTAATAGATTAAAATTGACTTGAGTTGCTATATTTGTAGACTTTTTAAATGAGTAAATTGTAAGGGGTACACCAAATTAGACTTATTTGGCAAAAAATACACACTAAAAAAAGTAGGTTTATTAAGTACTTAATTTTGATATTTATTTGTATCTAAGTACATAATTTGAATTTATTTATTTTTATTGTGATATTTTTGCCATCCATTAATTCATGTGTATTTAATGCACCACTTTTCTTTAAAAAGTGGTGCATTAAATATCTTCTAATTTTATAAGAGAACTTTAATACATACATATATTTATATATACACGTTTTTATATATACTATATATAAATACTTATGTATGTATATATGTATATACAAGTTGTTAAATCTATTATCTAAATTTTAAATTATCTTTTAATTCACCTTGATTCATGTATTTTTTTTTTACAAAGTGGTTTTATTTTCAAATTAATTTAATACCCGAATGGTGTAATAGTGTAACAATATAAAGTGTAACAATAACAGTGTAACACTAACAATATAATAGTATAACAATAATAGTGTAACAAACTATTTACATAAAATATTGTTTTATTACATTTTGTCAAACATATAGTTTCTTATAATTTCATTCAAAATAGTCCATCTCCGTTTTGAATTTGTTACCATATACACAAAACTACTGAACACTGTTTTTGTTACAGTATATTTGTTACACTATCTTTGTTACAGTGTATTTGTTACATTGTTATTATTACACTATTATTGTTATACTATTACATTATTCGGATATTAAATTAATTTAAAAATAAAACTATTTTCCAAAAAAAAAGCTTGAACCAAGGTGTATTAAATATAATTTGAAAACAAAATCACTTTTCAAAAAAAAAAACGTATTAATCAAGGTACATTAAAGATAATTCAAATTTAAATAAGAGATTTAACAACAAATATACATATATATATATATACATGTATTAACAAAAATAAATGAATTAAAGGTACATTAAATACGTATTTATATGTATTAATAAACACACATGAATCAAGGTACATTAAAAATAAGAGATTTTAAATTAAATGACCCTAAAATGGGCATTTATATCTTTTTAACTCATATTTTGTTTTATGTATTTTTTGTCAAATAAATTTAATTAAGTGTATCAACTTTTAAAAAATCTTTTTAAAATTTTGAGGGCTTTTTTTATTTGTGGGGGCCTAAAGCGATTATTTCATTTTTTCCTGTGTTGTGCCGGCCTTTGGGGGAGTTTCAGTGGGGTAGGTTTCGGTGAGGAAGGGAGAGAGGGTTTGTAGAGAGAGATAGAGGGAGAAGTAAAAGTATAGAGAGAGAATGGCTTGCGGTAGAAGAAGGTTTGGATTGTTTAAATTAGGTGTCTTTGTACTGATGCATCTAATATTATAGCAACCATGAATGTGAGGTGGGGGAGTTTCAATGGGTGGGTTTCGGTGAGGCAAGAGAGAGAGGGTTTGTAGAGAGAGAAGGCAAAGTATAGAGAGAGAAAGGCTTGGGGTAGCCGAAGGGTATAGCAATGAAATTAAATGGCTAAACGGGGGTATTTTGATTTTTTTTCAAATTCTGAAACGTTAATCTACTGTGACACTTCATTTTTAAGTTGCGAGGGACTGAGTACAACATACAAAACTATGACGTGGTGGGTGGTGGCGTTCAATGGTAGACAGCAGTGAGCTTCTGTGGTGGAGCTGTGTGTCTGTGTGTGAGAAAAGAGAGAGAGGCAGAGCCAACATGGCGTGTATGAAAGGAACACCATCCGAAGACTTTTTGATCGTCAAGGAGTTAAATTCACCGGGTACTTTATTTTTTCTAAAGCAGGAAAATGGTGTATCTGTCTTTTCGACCAAGAAATTTAGGATGACTCTCGTCATCTTCGTCTCAGTGGAATTTTCGAAGAAGCAAAGTATACAACATCAAGCTTGAATATTAAAATAATTTTTTAAAATATTTGTATCGGTTGATTCTCCATTACTGCCTTCCACGAGATGCAAGAAATATGGGAAGGGGCTAAAACAAGATGGAAGGGACATAGTCAGGGGGTTGGAACGAAATAATGGGAAATTGTGGTACATAAAATATTTAAAGTTTAATAAAAGTATAGAGGGAAAAAAAAGGAAGTTAAATTTATTCTTATAAAGGATAAAATATAAAATAATAAAATAGTAAAAATAAGATGCTCTTTATTTAAAAAAAAATTCTTTTTATTTTAAAGAGCACTATTGAAGATGCTCTAATATTTCACGAACCAAAATAGATAAACAACACCAAAAAATAAGACAAAAAATTAAATTTGCTGCTGAAGTATGTATTTTAATGATGTAATATTTTATTTTGTTGCTAAAAATTTTACTTCAACCACGGTTTTTATTTTACTTGGAACAAAGGTAAGTGAAAAAAGGATACAAACTAAGTGTAGAGTCCCCGTATATATAGTCAATGAGAGTTACCATAAGAACAAAAAGGTAAAAAATGAAAACTTAATAAAACCCTAATAAACTAGGTTGTTACTATATCTCTAACACTCCCCCTCAAGCTAAGCGCAAAAATGTCAACTAAGTCAAACTTGACAACGGAGTCCTGAAGAATAGACAGAGTGACAAGTTTGGTAAAAACATCCGCAACCTGATTATTGGTCCCCACAAACGATGGAGTGACAATACCATTACTAACCTTCTCCTGAAGAAAGTGAACATCAATCTCTATATGCTTCGTCCTCTCATGTAGTACAGAGTCAGAAGCGAGCTGAATAGCAGATCGATTATCACAATATAATGTGGAATGAGAGGTCATTGAAAAACCCAACTCGCCAAGAATCGATCGTAGCCAGATAATCTCACACGTGCCAAGTGTCAGTGCCCGATACTCTGCCTCTGTTGACGAGCGGGAGACAACTGCCTACTTCTTGCTCTTCCAAGAGATAAGATGAGTCCCTCGAAAAACACAGAAGTCCGTAGTAGATCGACCATCACATGCTCCCCCATAATTTGAATCTGAATAACAAACTAGAGAATCTGTCTGAGATCCTGATACATAAAACAACCCAAGTCCAGGACAAGACTTGAGGTACCGAAGAATATGATAAACTGCATCAAAATGAGGCTGACATGGCCTGTACATGAACTGACTAACTCGGCTGACTGCGAATGAAATGTCCGGCTTAGTTTTGGCTAAGTAGATAAGTCTACCTACCAATCTTTGATAAATTGTCGAATCTTTCAACTCTAGTAAGCTTCAGGTTTGGAATCATGGTGATGATGCCGGTTTGCACCCCAACATCCCAGTGTCTGAAAGAAGATCCAAAACATACTTTCTTTGAAAAAGAACAACACCCCTGCCGCTACGAGCAACCTCAATCCCAAGAAAGTATCGCAGAAATCTAAGGTCCTTCACACCGAAGGCC